CCATCCTGAGACAGGAAGCATCAAACACAACATTTGTGTAACATCTGTGTAACATTCACAGCAGCACTGATCTATAATGAATATAAAGCCACAGGTCGTAGGTCAGCAGAGCTCGGGACCACTGCTGGTGTGTGCAGGTCTCACCTTGGTGCAGGTCTCAGTGTCGGGGTTACACTGCAGGATGTCTCTGACCATGGTGGCGTTTCCTTTCTCCACAGCCCAGTACAGAGCCGTTTTATTCTCCTGGAAACACATCAGAGTGAGACCTCCCCTTCATTACAGCTCTGAGCCCCAACTACAGCTGCTAATGAAGCAACAGTATTATTGTTGTTGTTGTTATTATTGTTGTTGTTATTATGACCTCACCTGTCCTCTGATGTCGATGTCGGCGTATTTATGCAGCAGAGCTCTGACGATCTCCACGTGACCCCCCCTCACTGCTCCGATCAGCACCGTGTCACCGCTCTGTAACACACACACACACACACACACACATATTATTATAAACTAACTCCCTCAAAGCTCCGCCCCCTGCACGGCTCCGCCCTCTGCTCAGCGCCGCCCCCTGCTGGCTGTACGCAGCTTCCTGTCGTCTGTCTGTGGACTCACCCGGTCTGGGATGTTGACGTAGGTCCCGGCGTCCAGCAGGTCCTGGACGATCTCGGTGTAGCCCTCCTTGGCGGCGATCATCAGCGCCGTGTTCCCGTCTTTGTCGGTCATGTTGACGTTGGGGTTCCTCTTCAGCAGCTCCTTCACCACCTCGGTGTACCCGCCCTTCACCGCCACGATCAGAGCCGTCATCGAGTTCTGCACAGACACACACTCTGTCACAGTGTGTTTGGGTTCATGGACCAAACTACTGCTGATCAATGCAGGAACTGATAATCAATAATCAATAATCAGCTGTGTGCTCGTACCGCCCCCTCCTGGTCCACGTCGGCTCCGTTCTCCAGCAGATGCATCACACAGTCAAAGTGTCCTTTCCTTGACGCCCAGATCAGCGGGGTGGTCCCATACTGCCACACGCACACACAGAGAGAGAGAGACACAGAGACGCACACACACACACACACACAAGAGAGAGAGAGAGAGAGAGAACACACAGACACACACACAGAGAGAGAGAGAGAGAGAGAGACACACACAGAGAGAGAGAGAGAGAGAAACACACAGAGACGAGACACACAGAGACACACACACACACACACACACACACACACACACACAGAGAGAGAGAGAGAGAGAGAGAGACACACACACACACACACACACACACACAGAGAGAGAGAGAGAGAGAGAGAGAGCGAGAGAGACACACACACACAGACACACACACACACACACAGAGAGAGACACACAGAGACGCACACACGCACACACACACACAGATATACACACACAGAGACACACACACACACACAGAGAGACACACACACACACACACACACAGTTATTATTTTATTTTATAGCTTTTATTGTGAAAGGGCCAGTGTTAAGGAAGAGTGTGTGTGTTTATAAGACCTTCCTTCTAAATGACTTTTTCTCTCGTCACAATCTGGATTTCTTGTTTTTAACTGAGACATGGATTTGCGCTGGAGTTGGCCAGTCTTCTGTTTTCGGTGAACTCTGCCCAACCAACTGCTCATTCATAGAGGAGCAGGAGGAGGAGGAGGAGGAGGGGTGTGGCTCTTGTTTTTAGGGATCATTTTAAATTACAGACACTTCCTGCAGGGCGTTTTTCCACCTTTGAACTGCAATGCGTAATAGTAGAATCTGCTATGTCCCCATTGGTTTGTGTACTGATCTATAGGCCCCCTAAGCCTGACAAAGACTTTATAACTGAATTGTCTGACTTTCACTCCCATTTTGTGTCACTGCATGATCGTCTCCTTATACTTGGTGACTTCAATATCCACGTCTGCTGTCCAGACAGACCTTCGGTTAGCGAATTCTGTGGTGTAATAGATGCCCTTGGCTTTACACAACATACGAATAAAGCTATTCATAAACTGGGACATACACTTGATCTCATTTTATCTTATGGTTTTACTGTTGATAATATTGTGATTGAGGATGCCACTTTTTCTGATCATAAGCCTATTATATTTGACATCACTCTCTCCAGTCCCCTGCGAACTGCCAGAACTCAGGGCCGTTACTCTCGCACATACACTCTCTTACTGCAGCTCAGTTCTGATAGCTTTCTGAGTAAAACTGTTGAATCTACCATTGCAACAGCGACATCATCCTCCTCTAGCCCAGATGAATTAGTTACCCTTTTCCACTCATCTTGCTCTTCCATATTTGACTCTGTAGCTCCTCTCACATACACCCGCCCCAAACTAAAATCTCAATATTGGTTAGATGAGGCCACACGCTCTCTCAGGCAGGCCTGTCGTAAAGCTGAAAGGAAATGGAAACAGGATCATCTCACTGTCTCTTTTGAAATTTTTAAATCTGCATTAGCTTCCTTCCAGGCAGCAGCAACTTAGGTCAGCTCACCCCATCTGTCAAACCCTATGCCGGAAACCTGGGTGTCATTCTCGACTCCGAACTCTGCTTTGACAAACAGATTAGCTCTGTTGTCAAAAATAGTTTTTACCAGCTCAGAATGATCTCCCGCCTCAAATCTTTCCTATCTCACAATGACCTTGAGAAAGTTATCCATGCCTTTATTACATCACGGCTGGATTATTGCAATTCCCTCCACCTTGGCCTCCCCCAATCCTCACTTAGACGTCTTCAGCTGTGCGTCTTCTAACTGGCACCAGGAGGTGTGAGCACATCACCCCCATTCTGGCCTCCTTGCATTGGCTCCCAGTTCATTTTAGGATTCAGTTCAAAGTTTTATTATTTGTTTTTAAGGCACTAAATGGGCTGGTCCCAGTATACATCACTGACCTTGTACAGCCCTACTCTGTTCAAAGGTCCCTGAGATCCTCAAACAATGGGCTTCTGCATGTACCGTGCTCACAGCTCAAACAGAGGGGTGACAGAGCTTTTGCAGTTGCTGCTCCACCTCTGGGGAACCAGCTTCCTCTGGATATTAGATCTGCCCCCTCCATTTCTTCCTTGTTCCCTAACCCTGTACTCCTGCTCATCCTGTGTATTTCTGTGTTGTGTGCCCTGATATTGAAGGTTTCCTTTTATTCATGTTTTATGGAATTATTGACTATTGGTCCAATGTGTTTTTCGGCATTATTTGTCTTTTTAGTTATCCACTGTACAGCACTTTGGTCAGTTTTTACTGTGTTTAAATGTGCTTTATAAATTAAATGTACTTACTTACTAATTTACTTACTTATGTTTCACCGTTATCAAACAGGTTGAAACTGCACAATACATCAGTGTTATTGTTGTTGTTGTTGTTGTTGTTTCCTCACCTTGTCAGAACAGTTGACTTTAGCTCCGTTGTGCAGCAGCAGTTTGACGATGTCTGCGTGTCCTCGACCTGCAGCCCAGATTATAGGATACACACTGTACTGCTGTGAGACAGACAGAGATAGAGAGAGACAGACAGAGAGACAGACAGACGGAGAGAGAGAGAGAGAGAGAGAGAGACAGACAGACGGAGAGAGAGAGAGAGAAAACAGACAGAGAGACAGACAGACGGAGAAGAGAAGAGAGAGAGACAGACAGACAGAAACAGACAGACGGAGAGAGAGAGAAACAGACAGAGACAACAGACAGAAGAGGAGAGAGAGAGAGAGACAGACAGACGGAAGAAAAGAGAGAGAGAACAGACAGAGAACAGACAACAGAAGAGAAGAGAAGAGAGAAACAGAGACAGACAGACGGAAGAGAGAGAGAAACAACAGAGAACAGACAACAGAAGAGAGAGAGAGAGAGAAGAACAGAGAACAGACAGAGAGAGAGAACAGAAGACAGACAGAGAACAGAGAGAGAGACAGAGAACAACAGACAACAGAGAGAGCAGACAGACAGACAGAGAGAGAAGAGAGAAGAGAGAGACAATACAGACAGACAGACAGACAGACAGACAGTGTCAGTGTAACCAGTTCAGTCTTGTGTCAAATATCAACAACTTTTAACATTGTTTGATTCATTTCATAAACATCAATAATACCAGATCATTACTGTGTGTGTGTGTGTGTGTGTGTGTGTGTGTGTGTGTGTGTGTGTGTGTTACCTGTCCTGTAGTGTTGGGGTTCGCTCCGTGTTCCAGCAGCAGTTCAGTGACCTCCTCACGACCTTTGTAGGCCGCCCACATCAGAGCCGTCCAGCCCCCCTGAAACACACAGTTACATTATATTATTACATTATTATATTATTACGTTATTATATTATTATTGTATTATATTATTATGTTATTATGTTATTATATTATTATATTATATTAATACATTATTATATCATTATTTTATTATATTATTATATTATTACATTATTACATTACAATATTATTATATTATAACATTATTATATTATTATAATATTATTATATTATTACATTATTATTATATTATTATATTATTATTACAATATTATATTATATTATTACAATATTATATTATTACAATATTATTATATTATTACATTATTATATTATTACATTATTATATTGTTATATTATTATATTATTATATTATTACGTTATTATATTATTATGTTATTATATTATTATTGTATTATGTTATTATGTTATTATATTATTATATTAATACATTATTATATCATTATTTTATTATATTATTATATTATTACATTATTACATTATTACATTACAATATTATTATATTATAACATTATTATATTATTATAATATTATTATATTATGACATTATTATTATATTATTATATTATTATATTATTACATTATTACAATATTATATTATATTATTACAATATTATATTATTACAATATTATTATATTATTACATTATTATATTATTACATTATTATATTGTTATATTATTATATTATTATGTTATTATATTATTATGTTATTATATTATTATTGTATTATATTATTATGTTATTATGTTATTATATTATTATATTATTATATTAATACATTATTATATCATTATTTTATTATATTATTATATTATTACATTATTACATTATTACATTACAATATTATTATATTATAACATTATTATATTATTATAATATTATTATATTATGACATTATTATTATATTATTATATTATTATATTATTACATTATTATTACAATATTATATTATATTATTACAATATTATATTATTACAATATTATTATATTATTACATTATTTTATTATTACATTATTATATTGTTATATTATTATATTATTACATTATTATTATATTATTACATTATTATATTATTATTACAATATTATATTATATTATTACAATATTATATTATTACAATATTATTATATTATTACAATATTATTATATTATTACATTATTATATTGTTATATTATTATATTATTACAATATTATTATATTATTATATTATTACAATATTATTACATTATTATATTGTTATATTATTATATTATTACAATATTATTATATTATTACAATATTATTACATTATTATATTGTTATATTATTACATAATGTTATATTATTATATTATTACAATATTATTACATTATTATATTGTTATATTATTACATAATGTTATATATATATAGAATATATATTATATATAATCATTACCCTGAGTAGCTGACATACAAACACACAGAATTCGCCTCATTCATGATTTCACATGTTATTGATTCCAGCTGTTAGTTTTACTTTACTATGAGCGAACCAATGTGGCTCCACCCTACTACATCTCCCATGAGTGTTAGCGGCTGCTGTGTGGACCCACCATGTCTCTGTGCTCGATGTAGGCGCTGTTCTCCAGCAGCTCCTTCACCACCTCCACGTGACCTTCTTTAGCTGCACAGATCAGAGCCGACCAGCAGTCCTGCAACACACGCACACACACAGGTTACCATGGAAACACGCCATCACCCACACCGCCGACCATTAACTCCGTCCGTCTCCTAGCAACCAGGTGACGCTCACCACGTCGTCAAGGTTGACGTTGGCTCCTCTCCTGATGAGTTCCTGGATGATCTCCAGGCTGCCCTGCTCCGCCGCCAGCATGAGAGGAGTCTGTCCGTTCTGTCAACAAACAAACAACAACAACAATAAATACAACAACAGTTTCATAATTACAGCTGAGAGAGAAAATAAAATGTCACAATAAACAATATTAAGTGGATGTAAAGTAATATAGAAATATAAAAATAGCATTAAATATAATACAGTAATAAATTAGAGCACAGCGAATAAAATAAAACTAGTGTCCACAGTAACTACTGAAGCGTCTGTTATAAGAGGATTATTACAGGTGAATAAATAATAATAATAACAATAATAATATATAATAATAACAATAATAATATATAAAAATAATAATAACAATATATAATATGTATAAATAATAACAATATATAATATATAAATAAATAATAATATATAATATATAAATTATGATATATAATATATATAAATAATAATATTATATATAAATAATAATAACATATAAATAAATAAATTATATATAAATAATAATATATAATATAAATTATAATATATTATATATATAAATAATAATAATATATAAATAAATAATATATAGTATATAAATTATGATATATAATATAAATGATGATATATAATATATATAAATAATAATAATAATATATAAATTATGATATATAATATATATAAATAATAATAATATATAAATAAATAATAATATAAGGTATATAAATTATGATATATAAATAATAATAATATATAAATAAATAATAATATATAAATAAATAATAATATATAGTATATAAATTATGATATATAATATAAATTATGATATATTATATATATAAATAATAATAATATATGATACATATAAATAATAATAATGATTCCATATATTCAGGAAGACGTACGTCGCTGCGTCCGTCGACCTCCTTGAAGCGGTCCAGGTGAGCCTTGAGGGCGGACAGGTTCTCCTCCTCCACGTAGCTGAACAGGTTCTGGATGGCCAGAGTGGTCATCTTGATGGACGTGGTGGTGTCCATGTCTGCAGTGTGTCAGTGCGCCCCCTGCTGGCAGAGGACGGCAGGACAACAACAATAATATCCTCCTGTTAGTTTACTGGGGTTATATTATTATTGTTGTTGTTGTTGTTGTTGTCGTACTGATATGTGTTATATATTGATATGTGTTTAGGGTTGGGTACCGAAACGCGGTACCAATAGGGCACCGGTTTGGACGTAAACGGTAGCAACCACACCGAATAATAAGGAACATTTCGGTGCCTGACTTTTCTTTTTTACCGCCCCCCGGTGTTCAGTATCAGAACTGATAGCGAGAGGATCAATGAAGATGCCGAAGACAAAACGCTCCGATGATGATGATGACATTCAGCCTAATTCAACTCTTTAAAAAAATAAAAAAAAAAATAATTTATAAAAATCTTCAAAAAAAGGGAATTTATTTTAAAAAATAATGCACCGTGTTTAAACAACGCACAAGGCCAAACAGCAGCCCAGCCAGTTCGGCCTCCTCCAGTGTGGTCGACATCCACGTAATTTAAATGCTAAATTAATAACAAACACCGTTGGTTTTATTATTATTGATATATTGTTATATGTTATTGATATGTTATATATTGATATATGTTATTGATATGTGTTATATATTGATATGTGTTATTGATATGTGTTATATATTGATATGTGTTATTGATATGTGTTATATATTGATATGTGTTATTGATATATGTTATTGATATGTGTTATTGATATGTGTTATATATTGATATATGTTATTGATATGTGTTATTGATATGTGTTATTGATATGTGTTATATATTGATATATGTTATTGATATGTGTTATTGATATGTGTTATATATTGATATGTGTTATTGATATGTGTTATTGATATGTGTTATTGATATGTGTTATTGATATGTGTTATATATTGATATGTATTATTGATATGTGTTATATATTGATATGTGTTATATATTGATATGTTATTGATATGTGTTATATATTGATATGTATTATTGATATGTGTTATTGATATGTGTTATATATTGATATGTGTTATATATTGATATGTGTTATATATTGATATGTGTTATTGATATGTGTTATTGATATGTGTTATATATTGATATGTGTTATTGATATGTGTTATATATTGATATGTGTTATTGATATGTGTTATTGATATGTGTTATTGATATGTGTTATTGATATGTGTTATATATTGATATGTATTATTGATATGTGTTATATATTGATATGTGTTATATATTGATATGTTATTGATATGTGTTATATATTGATATGTGTTATTGATATGTGTTATTGATATGTGTTATATATTGATATGTGTTATTGATATGTGTTATATATTGATATGTGTTATTGATATGTGTTATTGATATGTGTTATTGATATATGTTATATATTATATGTGTTATATATTGATATGTGTTATTGATATGTGTTATTGATATTGTTATTGATATGTGTTATATATTGATATGTGTTATTGATATGTGTTATATATTGATATATGTTATTGATATGTGTTATTGATATGTGTTATATATTGATATGTGTTATTGATATGTGTTATTGATATGTTTATTGATATGTGTTATTGATATGTGTTATATTATATGTGTTATATATGTGTTATATATTATATGTGTTTATATTATATGTGTTATTGATATGTGTTATTATTATATTGTTATTGATATGTGTTATTATATATGTGTTATTGATATGTGTTATATATTGATATGTGTTATTATATGTGTTATTATATTATTGATATGTGTTATTGATATGTGTTATATATAATGTTTATATATTGATATATTATTGATATGTGTTATATATTGTAATATGTGTTATATATTATATGTGTTATATATTGATATGTGTTATTATATGTTTAATATGTGTTATTGATATGTGTTATTGATATGTGTTATTGATATTGTTATATATTGATATGTGTTATATATGTGTTATTGATATGTGTTATATATTGATATGTGTTATTGATATGTGTTATATATTTTATATTATTGATATGTGTTATATATTGATATGTGTTATTGATATGTGTTATTATATGTGTTATTGATATGTGTTATATATTGATATGTATTATTGATATGTGTTATTGATATGTGTTATTGATATGTGTTATATATTGATATGTGTTATTGATATGTGTTATATATTGATATTATGTTATTGATATGTGTTATATATTGATATGTTTATTGATATGTGTTATATATTATATGTATATATGTGTTATTATTGATATGTGTTATTGATATGTGTTATATATTGATATGTGTTATATATTGATATGTGTTATATATGATATGTGTTATTGATATGTGTTATATATTGATATGTGTTATTGATATTGTTATTGATATGTGTTATATATTGATATGTGTTATTATTATATTGTATATTGATATGTGTTATTGATATGTGTTATATATTGATATGTATTATTGATATTTTATTATATGTTTATATATTGATATGTGTTATATATTGATATATGTTATGATATGTGTTATATATTGATATGTGTTATATATTGATATGTGTTATATATTGATATGTGTTATTGATATGTGTTATATATTGATATGTGTTATATATTGATATGTGTTATATATTGATATGTGTTATATATTGATATACAGAGCAACCAATCAGGAATCAGAAAACATCAAGGTGTGACAACAGATGTTTGTTTGTTAGTCCTCTGTCAGTCAAATACACACACACACAGACACACACACACACAGACACACACACACACTGATCTACAGTCTGTGTGATGAGCTGACCTCAGATCAGCTCTGCTGGACGACTGATAACACTTCAATAAACCAGCAGGTGATGATGGAGGTTTCGTGTCACTATGGAAACGCCACTGGCCAATCAGAACCCTGCTTCGTCCTTGTTGCCAGCCTACCTCAATCAATCATAAGCACTTTAACACTACATTACCCACAATCCTCAGTTCAGAGGGGCAGCTGTCACCATGGAAACAGTCTCCCAGCAACTGTCCCATTATACTCCAAAGACTCTGCTGTGACCCCGACTCACACACAATTCAATAATCAATAATCAATATTGACTTGATCATCTGTTGTTTCCACGGTAACCGGTATATTCTGACCATTTTATAGAATGAGCTGTGATATAATGTCTGCTGCAGAGGTTAGAATCATTTAAACAGACAAATAAAACTAAAATATATAAATAAAACTACAGTTAATGAATTATTAAAGGCAGATACCAAAGCTCAATGATATTAAAATACAGAGATATGATGATTTTAATTAATTATTATGATCCTTTATGGCAGAATGAGGCCACGCCCTGTTTGTTATTAACATTTAATTAACATTTGAACATAACAATAGAGTAATATAGTCATTATTATAATACTTATATTAGTATTTAATGTTATTAACAGCGTTGTTACATCAGTAACCTGAATAACCTTCATGCTGTCAGCTCTCATTCAGACAACATTTATATTATTATTCATTAACCAGAAACACACATTAACGCTCTAATAACACAAAATGGCGGCTCCATTGTCAGAAACATTTAACCGTTATTGGGATTTATTCTGATCAGTTCTGGGACAAGTGTCAATCAAATATTAATCGATGACAGCCGAGGATGCTGACGGGAAAAACACAGAAAATAACCGTTTTTACCTTCAGAAGAGAATCAGATTCGGTTCCCGGGGTCCGGGTTCGGGTGCAGCCGGGTTTCGGTACCGGTCGAGCGGCGGGTTGTCTGCGTTTGTTCGGCCTGTGTTCGGATGACAGCCTTAGCTCATTCTCCATCCGCAACGACGGCGGCCATCTTGGTGAGAACAACAACTGACAGACAGCCAACCACAGCCCGCCGCCGCGCCAAGCCCGCGAAAATCACCGCTGCTTGTTCCGTTCGCTGCTGTCAAAATAAAAGCATACGCAGTGACCGCCAAAGAAACCAAGGAGTCCGACAAGCTTTACAGGGGAAAAGCTATTTTTAGAGGATTATTCAGTTCTTCCTCAGTTTCAGTAAGACTCTGATAAACACAGTGAATTAATTTAATAATAATAATACATTTTATTTGTAAAGCACTTTTTAAAAGAATCTCAAAGTGCTACAGAAACCAAGAAACACAATAACAAAGAAACACTAAGGGCAATAACACATTAAAATCAGTAATCAATAATAATACAAGTGATCAAATACATTAAGAACAACAGTTAAAAGAGTGAAATTAGAAAAATCTAAGGACAACTGAAGAACGGCTGCCTGAACAAGAGAGTTTGAAGCCCTTTTTTAACAGTGTCCACAGACTGGGGTTTTCACAGATGTTCAGGGAGGGAGTTCCAGATGTGAGGGGCAGCGGAGCAGAAGGTCTCCCATGGTGCAGAGTCTTGAGCGGGGCTGATGGAGGAGGTTTGTGCTTTGGGACCGGAGGTTACGGGTGGATGAGTGAGGGGTAAGGAGGTCTTTGAGGTATTGGGGGCGTGGGTGATGAGGGCCATCTCGTATCGGATCCTAGAGGTTAATGGGAGCCAGTGGAGGTTCTGAAGAATGTGGTCGTATTTGTGGGTTTTCATCAGAGTTCGGGCAGCACAGTTCTGAATGAACTGAAGGTTCTGAAGGTGTTTAATGGGTATACCGATGAGCAGGCTGTTACAGGAATCAAGCCTGGAGGAGATTAAGGCTTGGACGAGTTGTTCTGCGTCAGAGAAAGTGAGGAAGGGGCGGAGTTTTGAAATGTTGTTGATATGGAAGAAGCAGGTTTTGTACAGATGTTTGATGTGTTTGCAAAGGTCAGTTGTGGGTCCAGCTTCACACCGAGGTTGGTAACTGTGGTTGAGAGGAGGATGTCCTGACCGGAGAAGGAGACGGTGGTTATGGGTGATGACTGGACCTGATGAGGGGGGCCAATTCGTATGGCTTCAGTTTTAGAGCTGTTCAGCTGGAGGAAGTTGTGACTCATCCACGCCCTAATCTCCTCCAGGCAGTCGGAGAGGGCTAGAGATGATGATGAAGAGGGAGCAGGTGATGATGAAGGGACTGGGGTAGAGCATAGGCTGGGGTTGGTTCGCAAATTTAATTTAACTTCATTCATACTAATATTTGTTTTGTTTTTACGTAACAATAAGTAGACTGTTGGTGGTAACTTATTTTGAAGGTGCTGTTTTTGTTGCTTCCTGTGGAGAATATTTCCTGTTAATTAAAACATTTGTTTATTGAATGTTTAATTATAAATAGTTATAGCTGATGAGCCCAGACCACACATATTCCGTTCATTACTCAGAGAAAGAAAGTAAAGGAGCACATTGACTAATAGTCTGAACATGTAGAGGACATTTATATATTTACTTCCTTAATAATTTACTAGAATACTGTACATGTTTCACCACAGTTAAACAGTGTAAACAATAAAAGTGATATTAAACTGGATTTATTTCAGTTTTGTGTGATTTAAATTATTTGTCTTCCTTCAGTTGATTTTAATGATGTGTGTCGTTCTGTAAACATTCCCGACTCAGTGTATTATCTGAGGAATAAATATAATTATTAACAGTGTGGCAGAGAGTCAGAGGAGGAGCCTGGTCCAGTATCACTTTATTATCTTTATTATGGTTTAAAGTGCAGACAGTATGGCAGCTCTTATCTTCCTGCAGCATTACACAGGTCCAAACCTACGGAAGATCATTTCTGCCAATGTGACGGGACACAAATTATTCTGTCAGTCAAAATAATGACAAACTTTATCATTTGTCACAGACTGACAGTGGCTTTATTTTCCCATCACAGCTGAGAACCATCAACAGTCTGTGGATTATTGTTCCAGCTGGCTCCAAAATGTTTTCAGCCTAATGAACTGATCTTCCTTCTGACTGAATGAGTTGATGCTCTCTAGTTTCAGTCTTCAGTAGGATGTTCATTCAGTAAATGATGGTCCCATTCTGAGTAAAAGAGCCGAGCCCCACCCAAACTCAAGGCTTCACAATGTTTGTCCAAGGATGAATGTTTGTGTTTTTTATTTGTTTTTTAATACCTGTAATAAATGTGAATGACCCAAACATACCGTGAGCAGTAAATCCTAAGATTATCAACGACCAACAGAAGAGCACACCGGCAATGTCAAGTGTCAAAAAAATCCAAGTTTTAATCACATAATTTACAAAAAACAAACAAACATATCGTCCATATGAAACCTACAGAGAGGCGGCTGGTTCGCTGTGAGAACATTAACTGTCTCAATACGATGTCCTCGTCCTCCAGACATCTTCACAAATAAACACTAAAATCAGATGTGGAAACAGGAAATTAAAAAACGTTCTTTCCTGATTTTGCGAAGGAGACAATGAAGCCGCTGCGGGGGAAAGTGAATAAATAGTTTCTAATCATTGTATTGATGAAGAACACTGATCGAAGGATTGATTACTTACAGACAGTGCTGACATTATACGTCTGTTTAATCAACAATCATTTAATGATTAACTTATGAAACCAAAAGTTCAAAGCTAAAATAGAATTTAGGTGGTGAACTGAACCATTAACCGAACCAACTGGGTCACAGTGCGCTGTTAGCTAACCCGTATCAATTCTTTTAGCTAAAGTAAGCTAAGTAAACCGTCAGCTAACGTGAACTAACTGCTTTACTTCTGCACCGAACTGTTAGCTAACACACCGAACTGTTAGCTTCTGCACCGAACTGTTAGCTAACACACCGAACTGTTAGCTAACACACCGAACTGTTAGCTTCTGCACCGAACTGTTAGCTTCCACCGAACTGTTAGCTAACACACCGAACTGTTAGCTAACACACCCGAACTGTTAGCTAACACACCGAACTGTTAGCTAACACACAAACAAACATTTGAAGCTAAATAATTTGCTAACCAGAACCAATTCGTTTAGCTTTTTTTAATGACGTGGCAGCTAACCTAAAGCAAACTCCCCCATTAGCTGTTAGCTAACACCAAACAGTTTAGCCTCTAAGCTCGAGCATTAGCATTAGCATTAGCTTTAGTTGCTTAAGTACCTTGTTAGCTAACCTAAAAAAATGTGTTTGTTAAAATTAACCATTAAATAACTTGTACCAAACTGTTTTGGTGTTAGCTGTTGTAGCTTTCTCATTAGCTAACCTGATTTAAACTTAACCAGCTTTAGCTTCTGCACTGAGCTGTTAGCACTGAGCTGTTAGCACTGAACTGTTAGCACTGAGCTGTTAGCTAACCCAAAACAGAGGTTTTAGCTAAACTGAACGAATTGGCGTAACGTTAGCTCGTTTCAAGCTAATTCCTTTACCTGCTAACTGTTTTAGCTTCTACACTGTTAGCTAACCTTGAACCAATTTAACCAACTTCAAATTTGAATCCCTAACTGAACCCAACGACATAAACCCTAAATTGAGCCTTCAATCAGAACCAGTGTTAGCTGCTCCACAAAGTAATCAGATTACTTTAGCTGCTAACCTAAATGTTAGCTCAAGCAAACGAGCTAACCCTTCACTGAACAGCTGTTGTGAGTTTATAGGAGACAAACTTTATCTGATGTCTGGATTTCAAATTAAATTACAGTTTGAGAATTTCCCAAAACCCCGTGAAGCGTTTCTTCAAAGTTGAACCTCCGCAAACATCTGACATCAAACCACGAGTCTGTTACTCTGTTACAATCACATAAATAACGACGGGACAAAAGCTACGAATGTAAACACAACGAACCTCCTCCAGAGAATACTGATTCACTTCTTCTGGTAAAAAAACAGAACAACTAAGGCGACTGAGTGGAGTAATCATTGGCACTTTCTCTATGAACACTGTGACGTGGCGGTTTAATAGATTAGAACACGATGACGGTGAAATCAGGCAGTCTGGGAGGAACGT